TGTAAAAGTGATTGGGTATTTTTTTTTAAATAACAAAAAATGGTATACTTACCGTACCTGCTCTGTGCAATGATTTTGCACAGAGCAGCCCCAATCCTCCTCTTCTTAGGTCCCCCACTGGCGCTCTGACTACCCCCTCCTGCCGAGTGCCCCCATAGCAAGCTACAAGTTGCTCTCTGAGTCTGTCAAGCCATTCTTCTCCGTTTGTTATGTGGACCTTTTGGCATTGGTTGCCGTCTTGCTCACCCCTCAGTTGGACAGCTTTTGGACATCTGATTTGTAACAGTATTAGAATTTTTGACTTACCAGTAAAATTTGTTTCTTTGGAGAACAGTACAGGACACTGATCACACCTCTTTGTTCTTATGATCTCTCTGTTATATAGGGAGGTTGTCCCTGTAAACTTATTTGTTTGTGTCTAATCTACTGAAGGTAGATGCATATAAAGCAGCCACCATGATTAAAGAGCCTGTGTCATGAAATGTACTCCAAGAAATTAATTTTACTGGTAATCAAAAATCATATTTTGAGTGTCTGGTAGATGCTAGAGCATTAAACCATGAATACTGTCTTCTATCTCTCAGGAACTCTGTTCGTGAGATCTCCGAGTTCCTGGGTCTGCACATCTGCTGTACCCATAATGAAGGGCTATGGGTGGGGCCACCTCATTCAGGTACGTGGGGGGTGCCTTTTGCATGTGTGCATTCTTGGCAGAGCCCTGGACAAGCCTGGGCGGCGTTCATGTGACATCAACATTATGGCAGAACCTCGAATCAGATACTAGCCGTACACCATGTGCAGTAGTTAAATATACAGAGTCCCTCTGTGAAGCATGTTGTCCCGTATCACTACACACATTGACTGTGAGCTGTTGAATTTAGGTGGCTGAGCCTATGCCCTCTTTACCTGTCCAGCTATGTTCCGCTATGTGCTAAGTGCGGACCTCATGCATGCACTTAGTTACTTCTGCTGGTCTCTCTCAGACCATCCGGCCAGTCTGTGGGTCTCCATAATGCAGGTTCAGTCCCGAACCTCTAGGGAACCAACTGCTAGGGAGGGAGTCAGAGCACCAATCCCCTTGCTACCAGAGGACCCATCGCCATGCCAGGTAGCTTGCTTTAGGACAGGCTATTAAACACTTTACACCTGTCCTTGTTTACCCGTGGCAACTACTCTTCCATCTCCCTGTCTCCTGCCAAGTGAACTTGTTTCAAAGCTCATATGTGCTTTACAGAACCTGTTCTTCCATACACCAGAAACCATCATGAACCCCTGTAGAGTAACTTCAGACCTGATTTTGAAACAGTTAAATTAAGTTTACTGTAGTTTCTTGTGACAGAATGATCAACAAGCATAACATAATCCAGGTCTAGACTAGATAAAGGAGATGGCTGCCCAGGCATACCTTTACGGCTGTAAGTCCATAACTGGCAATCTCCATTGTATTATAGAAAGTTGTACAATATTAGTCCCCAAGGTTCACCAAAAGAAATTAGAGAAGGTATTAACGAAAAAAGGATGATATATTTAAAAAATGCGGGATTACCAAAGCTCAGTGAAACACAATTGAACTCCTTGGACGCGGAAATCTCCCAGGAAGAAATAGAAGCAGCATTAAGAAGTACAGGGGGTGGGAAAAGCCCAGGCCCGGATGGTTATACAGTTAAGTACTACAAAAAATTTAGTGAATTACTGTTACCGAAGTTGAAGAAGTATATGAATGATTTGGGAGGTGGGATGGAGGGGAGGAGGGAATCCCTTCAGGCCCATGTTGTTCTCATTCATGAGGAGGGAAAAGATCCTTCTCAGTGCTCTAGCTACAGACCAATTTCATTATTGAACACTGATACCAAGTTGTACGCAAAGGTTTTAGCAAACAGGCTGAAAGATCTAATGCCTGAATGGATCCATGGAGATCAGGTGGGCTTTGTCCCAGGGAGAGAGGGTAGAGACAATGGGTTGAGAACTTTAATGCTTATTCAGAAAAGTAGAAAAGGAAAAGCCCTGGTGGTGCTCTTGTCAATTGATGCCGAAAAGGAATTTGATAAAGTGGACTGGGGCTTTATGATGGACAACTTGGAAGTGCTGGGGATTGGAGAGAGAATGAGTGAGTGGATAGGTAAATTATATAGGGAGCCCACCGCAATCGTCACGGTAAATGGGTAGAGGTCGGAATCCATTTTGGGATGTCCAATGGAACAAGACAGGGCTGCCCATTGTCCCCCTTGTTGTACGTTTTGACATTGGAACCCTTGTTGTCAATAATAAGGAATAGTGGAGCGGTAAAGGGAATCCAGATAGAAAATATAGAACATAAAGTAGCGGCCTTTGCGGACGACCTGTTGTTTTATGTAGGCAACCCCCGAATAACACTACCAAGTATAATGAAGACCCTGAAGGAATATGGTGAATTATCAAATCTAAAAATTAATCCAACAAAAATAGAGATTCTGAACATCAATATACCAAAGAGCGAAAAAGAAAAGCTACAAAAAGAATTCCCCTTTATATGGAGAGAAAAAAGATATTAAATACCTAGGAATAAAACTAGCCACCTCATATAAACAACTGTATAGATTAAACTATATTTCTCTGATAAATGAGACTAAGGAAGAATTAAAAAGATTAGAAGGAGGAAACCCATCATGGATAGGACGTATAAACCTAGTTAAAATGGTAATTATACCTAAAATACTCTATAGATTTCAAATGGTCCCAATCAAACTCCCAGAGGCGTTTTTTAAGATAATGAGAAGAATGTTAACAAGATATATATGGAGGAATAAAAAACCAAGAATATCATACGAAACACTAAGTAGGACTAAAGAGAAAGGGGGAATGGGACTACCTGATGTCAAGAGATATTATAAAGCAGTAATTTTAGCAAGAATTTATGATTGGACATTTAACCATAAGGGAAAAAGTTGGGTAAAAATAGAAAACGAACTGAGTGGAATTAGTTTGAGTAAGATGATATGGGCCCCAGCACATTATAGAAGAATTAAAGAAAACACAAGCACTTACACTTTAAATGTTTTAAGGATATGGGATAATTTACATAAACACATGAAATGGGAATTTAACTCTATATTAATGCCTCTTGCAAACACAGAGTTTTTCCCTCCAGGAAAGGATGAGATATCAGGGAGATGGTTTAAAAAGGAAGATATCCAATTGAGAGACGTATTGGTAGAGGGAGAATTGAGAACATTTAAAGAATTAAAAGAGAGAGGGGGGAGATATGTTTACTAGAATAGATGAGTGGAAATATCGTCAATTGAAATGTTTCATTGGAAATCTCCCAAAACCCTTAAGATTAAAAAAGGAGTGGAATATGTTTGAAAGGCTATCAGAAACACGTAGAGATGGGAAACACGGTGTTACAAAAATTTATAGAATACTCACAGAATTAGACACAGACACAAAGTTAATTTTTATAACAAATTGGGAAAGAGATATGGAGGTAGTGATAGATGAGGATCAACAGAAGAAGATATTCAGACTGGTACATGAGAGTGTTAGTATGAGAGACGTTGAGATTAACTATAAATGTCTGACACGATGGCATATCACACTGAGCACTGAGCACAAGATGAGTGGGGAGAATTCAAAAATGTGTTGGAGAGGATGTGGGGAGGAGGGCACGGTGTTACACATATGGTGGCAATGTCCAAAAATTCAGGTTTCTTTTCTGGAAGACAATAGTTAAATTAATAGAAATAATAACTAGAAAGGACATAGGGTTAGACCCAACCATGTGTCTCCTACATAATGTTGAGACAACAGTAAATAAATATAAAGAATCAGGCGTATGGTACTACTTAAGTGCTGCAAAAGGGTTGATACCCAAGTTTTGGCGGAAGACAGAGGTGCCGATGGAGGAGGATTGGATCAATATGGTAATCCAGATTAGTAGAATGGAAAAATCTAACTATATGCAGGAAGATAGGTTGGAAATATACTATTCGCGATGGGAAAAATGGGAAAAAATCAGGATTGAAAGAAAAATATAGAAAATTGTAAACTAGGATGTTATTTAAAGTTATTGGGTCTGGAGAGATTGGAGATCTTGCAGAGGGGAGGGAGGGGGAAGGGGGGGTAGAAATGGGTAGGGATGGGATTGAAAGAAAAGAGGTAATTAGAAGGGGCAAAGAAGAAATGTATTGATTATGTATATGTATTGTGTCTCTTCTTATGGAATTTTTGTAATAATATGAAGAACTAATAAATATTTAAATTAAAAAAAAAAAAAAAACTGGCAATCTCCATTGACTGGTAGTGTCCTACTGAACCCCAGTAATTTGTGGCTCTTGAACTTCTCAACTATCTCAACTCAGCTATCGATTCACTCTCTCCAATTTTTCCCAGGGAGACTCTCTCAAACCTATTTATGTATATCACAAGGTAAAAGACCAACCATAGAAAAAGCCCGGGAATTGAGGTTCCAGTAGTTAACCCCTTCCCCAGCCTGGATAGACCATCTAGCTAAACTATGTACACAACTCTCTGTAGCCACCTGCCTACAATGCCTCCCACCATCAATGCTGGATTTGTATTTAATTTGTATTATAGAGTGTCACGGACTGCCAGTGCCTCTCCCATCCCCCGCCATATCCCTCCACCCCTCCCTTCCCCCTGGCACATTCCGATGTCTGGGGAGCTTCCATGGACAATGCTGGGCCGGCCGTTGCCAAGGCAACCTAACCGCGTCCCACTTGGTTTTCAAATGTCTCGCACAGGAAGCAGCCCTTCTCTCTCTGTTCCTGTCCATGCTGCTGGAATCATCTTGCTCCCAGAAAGATGCTGGGAGGCTCGGGGTGAGCGGGACCGAGCCTCCCCAGCCATCCCCCCTGCGCGCTCTGCAGACCCCCAAAAGGTCAGGACTGTAGCCCTCTGCCATACCCCAGGGTTGGGAGTCTCCACAGCTCTGCATGAGTCTTCTCCTCAAAGGTCAGACCCCCACAGCTCAGACCCTGCAAGTCTGTAAGCCTGTCTACTGAGCACCCTTGCACCCTGTCTGCTGCTGTGTGCCCTGGGATCTGCTGCTGAGGGACCCTGCTGGTCGTCCCTGTCTGGAGCCGCCTGCTGCTGAGGGTATGCAAGCTGTTTACCGTGAGTGTCCTGAACTTTCCCCGCTGTGTGCACCGACCACCTGTGTCCTGAACTGTCCCCACTGTGTGCACCGACCACCCGTGTTCTGAACTGTCCCCGCTGTGTGCACCGACCACCCGTGTCCTGAACTGTCCCTGTTGTGCGCACTGACAACCTGTGTCCTGAACTGTCCCTGTTGTGTGCACTGACCACCTGTGTCCTGAACTGTTCTTGTTGTGCGCACTGACCACCCGCGTCCTGAACTGTCCCCGCTGTGTGCACCGCCCACCCGTGTTCTGAACTGTCCCTGCTGTGTGCACCGCCCACCCGTGTTCTGAACTGTCCCCGCTGTGTGCACCGCCCACCCGTGTTCTGAACTGTCCCCGCTGTGTGCACCGCCCACCCGTGTTCTGAACTGTCCCTGCTGTGTGCACCGCCCCCACCCGTGTTTTGAACGGTCCCTGCTGTGTGCGCTAGCCACCCGTGTCCCGAGCTGTCCCTGCTGTGTGCGCTGGCCACCCGTGTCCCGGGCTGGCCTTGTTGTGCGTGCAGACCACCTCGGTTGTGCACTGCCCTGCTACACGCCTGGACTACCCTTGCTTGAACCGCCCCGTGGCGTGCCCGGAGTATACTACTTGTGGTGCCCCTGAGTGCTTGAGCCATCCCTACCCGTTGAGTCCCTGTGAACCCAATGTCCCTAGAAAGCTGGGTGGGAGCTGTGCTGAGGCCAGACTCCACAGCTAGAGTCCTATTGAGTCCCCAAGACCCCTGCCCAGGGGTAGGTTGCCCGAGACTCCAATCCGCTGTCCAGTCACGGAGGGAGTTCGGCTGAGTCCCCAAGCCTAGGGGGGAGATTGCCCACCTGTTGCCCGAGACTCCAATCCGCTGTCCAGTCACGGAGGGAGCTCGACTGAGGCCCTAAGCCTAGGGGGGATATTGCCTGCCTTTTGCCCGAGACCCCTGCCCAGGGGTAGGTTGCCCAAGACTCCAATCCGCTGTCCAGTCATGGAGGGAGCTCGGCTGAGTCCCCAAGCCTAGGGGGGAGATTGCCTGCCTGTTGCCCGGGACCCCTGCCCAGGGGTAGGTTGCCCGAGACTCCAATCGCTGTCCAGTCACGGAGGGAGCTCGGCTGAGGCCCCAAGCCTAGGGGGGAGATTGCCTGCCTGTCGCCGAAGACCCCCTGTGCCTAAAATCGTCCCTGGTTTGCGCACACATCACCCTCCCTGCCATTTCCCCATTGAGTGTCTGTCATTTTGTTGCTTTAATAAAGTTTTGTGTGTTCCCCACCTGCTCTGTCCTGCCTACGCTTCCGTTACATAGAGAATGTAATTAGAGGAGTTGGAACACACTAAAAGGAATGGAAACACCCAGGGACAGGAGTAGAATTGGAAACTTTGGCAGGGAGATCTCACTGGCAGAACATCTGAGACATTGATTTTGGGTTTAAGGACCCTTCTTCTTATTTTGATTTTTGTATGCTTCCACTGTGGATGGAAAAAGCCTTAGGAGTCCATACATTAAAACCCAGATCTTGGGAACCACAAAAGTCAAATGAAAAAGTTTAATTTAGTAAAGAGTCAAATGGTTGGTAGTCTGAACCTGTCTATTGGGGGCTTCTGTTTTGGGTAATATGGTGGAAGTGCTCCTTTTGTTTTGACCATCAGCCAATGAGAGGCACATTATTTTTTTTTTTGGTGCCAGCTCCTAAGACTGGTAAACTATAATGAAAAGTTTCCTGCCAATTCTCGATGTTTCCTGCCAAAAAAGAAGTAGAAAAATATTTTAATGTTTAGTTCTGAACATATTAAAGAAAAAAGATAATAATTTATTGTGTGATACATTCACTTTAATAGTGTCAACTTTTTTCTTAGCAACCGAAACTCTTAGATTGCAAATTACTGCTTTGGATTCAAGGATGAGAGATCTGCTATCAAGAATTGAGAATCAGGGAAAAGGTTAGCTGGATGCATTATATGTGGGTGGCTTTCGCCTGGGTGATGTATATCTCATACAAATGTGTAGGTAAGCACAAGAAACAGCTAAAAGGATTGGAGGTCCAACCTATGTTGCCGAAGCAGTCCACAGCTCATAATCATAAGCAGTCTACTGACTGCTCCCCAGTACTCATACACAAGGGGGGGAAGGGGCCGGGATCAACATGGGGACAAGGTGCTTTGGGGGGGAGCTGCCCTACCCCAAAGCATCTCCCACCATGCTGAGGGCATATGGTCTGGTACGGTTCAGGAGGGGGGAGGCCCTCGTCCCCCCCCCTTTCCTAGCCTGCCTGTGCTCAGATCAAGGGTCTAGAAGGAATTTTAGGGGGGACCCCACACTTTTTTCGCCCACTGTTTTGGGAATGGGGTTCTCCTTAATAGTCCTACCATGCCTAAAGGTCCAGCTATGGCTTTTAGGTGGCAATCCACGCACTTTAAAAGAAAAAAAAGAAATTTATTGTGGGGTCCCGCCTTCCTACCATAGAATCTGGTATGGATTGGGGGAACCCCACACTGTATTTTTTCTTTATAAAAATTTCTTTTTTTTTAATGTCAGTCCTACTGCAGCAGGCTCTATACATTGAGCAGATGTGCAACTTTGCAGGTAGTTTAAGGGGACCCCCCAGGCATGATATTTAAAGATTTTTTTCTTTTAAGCAATGAAAAATGACTTCCTCTTTAAAAACAGCACTTTTTGAAAAAAAAAAAATGTTTTCACTGATTCATGTCCCTCAGGGCAGTACCCGAGTTTCCATACCCCTTATATGGCCATTAACTTCCATATAAACCTTCAAAATGGGGGACTTTTGAATTTACAAGTTCGAGTCCCATAGACTTGTGGCAAGTTCGAAGTTCTACTGCGAACCAAACGGGGGTGTTCGGCCCATCACTACCAGGCATTAGTTAAACACTGGGATAGGTGTATAACCATAGCAGGGGAGTAAGTCAAACAATAAATGCAGTTTTCACTCCTTGAAATTTGTTATTTTTTTATTATATAAACTCAAAAGTCCTGGTTTGACTTGAAACCTCCTTGTACATTTACTATTTTTTGTTCCTGGAGCCTCTAAAGCACGGGTGTCAAACTGGCGGCCCTCCAGCTGTTGCCAAACTACAAGTCCCATGAGGCATTGCAAGACTGTCAGTTAGAAGCATGACTCCCAAAGGCAGAGGCATGATGGAGCTTGTAGTTTTGCAACAGCTGGAGGGCCACCAATTTGACACCCCTGGTCTAAAGCATTTCGCCAACGATCATCGGATCACTGGTGCCATGCAGGTCTCCTGCACACCTGTCAGTGTATCTGTGTGCCCGTACATCATACAAACAAGCAGATATACTGACAGGAAGACTCAATGAACTACCACAGTGCTCCATAGCGCTGTGGTTGTTTATTGAGAACTACAAGCCAACAGCCGCAAAGCCTGATGGGACTTGTAGTTCATTCATTCACAGAATGCTGTGAATAAGGGGTTCAGCTGCGCAGACGTGGCCACACATTTTTACATTTTGACTGCTAGCGGGGGGGAAGAAGATCCCCCGATAGCTGTCATATCAGGGGAGTGTGGGGCCGGTCCATTCAAAACATGTTACATTTTACATGGGTGAAATATTTAACAAGTTAAATTTATCCTTTAACCTAAATACAAAGTGGCAGATGTTACTTTCTACTATGTGGTCCATGAAGTCTCATGGCGAAAATATTTTCTCCTTTTCTTCCCACTGGTACAGCTCTTTCATTTGTAAAAGGAGTCGCTAGAAGTGGCAACAAAATCTATATTGTAAATGGAGTTCAAACTTCTTGGTCCGAGGCCAGAGCCATCTGTGCCAATGGTGGAGGTCAGTTGGCCGTACCCCGGACTTATGAAGAAAACCAAGCCATCTTCTTCCTCCGCAAGCAGGTCAATCAGCACACATTCATGGGTATAAACGACATACAGAAAGAGGGTGATTTTCGAGACCTGTCTGGAGAAGCCATCAAATACTTCAATTGGCTCCCCAGTGAACCCAACAATGTTGCTGGCAATGAGAATTGCGTGGAAATGTGGGAGGAAGGAAAGTGGAATGATGAGAATTGTGCACGAGCACGGCTTTTTGTTTGTGAGTTTTAAATCAGTGAAAATAAACTGATTCTTTGAATCCATGCACCTCATGTATTGTCCAAAGGCACCTTTTTTCACCTTCCAAAAACCAAACTTTTAGAGGCAACATTCTCTTTATTTTCTTGTGCGCCTACAATTACCAAGCATTAAAGTGGTTTTAAACCCTTATATATACCCAGTGAAGTGACAGGCCTCAGATGATACACAGGTGAAACAAATTCTCCTACTTAAGCTGTACCTGTACCTGTATCTGCAGCACTAGCAAAGACTGTATGTGAACACACTACAAAATATATTCCCATGGGCAACAAGTTTAAAAGGATAAAAATCAAACCTATGTGGCTTACGGCCAAAGTTAAAAAAGCTATAGGTAATAAAAAAAGAGCTTTTATTAAATATAAAAATGAAGGAACACTATCATCGTTTAAACATTACAAAGAATATAACAGAATATGCAAAAAGGAAATAAAGGCCGCAAAAACTGAAAAAGAAACGACAGATTGCAAAGGATAGCAGAACCAACCCCCAAAATTCTTCAAATATATTAATAGTAAAAAGGTTTGGTCCGAGCATGTAGGCCCTTTACAGAATCATCTAGAGGGGGTGACTGGGGACAAAGAGAAGGAAAATGTATTTAATACCTTCTTCAGCTCTGTATATACAAAGGAGCATGGGGGAGCTCTTGTCCATAATGGGCAAGGTATTGACAGCTCCAGATGATCCACATTGGCTCACAATTGATCCAAAAATATTTAAACAAAATAAACCTGGACCAGATGGCATACACCCGCGGGTCCTTAAAGAATTGAGCTCTGTCATTTCAAAGCCATTGTTTCTAATTGTTAGGGACTCTTTAATGACTGGCATAGTACCACTGGATTGGCGAAAGGCCAATGTTGTGCCAATATTTAAAAAGGGGTCAAAAACTTTACCAAGTAATTATAGACCTGTTAGTGTAACTTCTATAGTTGGGAAGATACTGGAGAGTTTAATAAAAGACCACATAGATGAGTTCTTACTGGAAAAATATGTTTTAAGCAACAGACAGCATGGATTCATGAAAGACAGAAGTTGTCAAACAAATCTGATTTAATTTTATGAGGAGGTGAGCAAAACCTTAGACAGAGGGGTGGATGTGAACATGATATACTTGGACAGAGGGGTGGATGTGGACATGATATACTTGGACAGAGGGGTGTATGTGGACATGATATACTTGGACAGAGGGGTGGATGTGGACATGATATACTTGGACAGAGGGGTGGCGGTGGAAGTGGTATACTTGGACAGAGGGGTGGCGGTGGACGTGGTATACTTGGACAGAGGGGTGGCAGTGGACGTGGTATACTTGGACAGAGGGGTGGCGGTGGACGTGGTATACTTGGACAGAGGGATGGAGGTGGAAGTTGTATACTTGGACAGAGGGGTGGCGGTGGACGTGGTATACTTAGACAGAGAGGTGGCGGTGGACGTGGTATACTTGGACAGAGGGGTGGCGGTGGACGTGGTATACTTGGACACAGAGGGGTGGCGGTGGACGTGGTATACTTGGACAGAGGGGTGGCGGTGGACGTGGTATACTTGGACAGAGGGGTGGCGGTGGACGTGGTATACTTGGACAGAGGGGTGGCATTGGACGTGGTATACTTGGACAGAGGGATGGCGGTGGACGTGGTATACTTGGACAGAGGGATGGCGGTGGACGTGGTATACTTGGACAGAGGGGTGGCGGTGGACGTGGTATACTTGGATTTTGCAAAAGTTTGACACAGTTCCCCACACACGGCTAATGTGTAAGGTAAAGTCTACAGGCTTGGAAAAATCTGTATGGAAATGGAAAGAAAACTGCCTAAAAGATGGTATTCAGAGAGTAGTGGTTAATGATCCATACTCTGAATGGTCTAGGGGTGTCAGTGGTGTACCCCAAGGTTCAGTGTTATTAGTGGGGTACCCCAAGGTTCAGTGTTGGGACCCTTACTTTTTAATATATTTATAAACGATATAGAGTCTGGGATTATAAATCCCATTTCAGTCTTTGCAGATGACACCAAGCTGTGCAGTGGAATAATGTCCTTACAGGATGTCTCCAACTTACAAGCCGACCTCTCAATGCTCTGTGTAATTGGGCAACTATGGGGCCGATGAGGTTTAATGTTAATAAATGTAAGGTTCTGCACTTGGGGGCTAAGAATATGCATGCATCATACATACTAGGGGGGTACAACTGGGGGGGTCAATGGTGGAGAAGGATCTGGGAGTTCTGGTAGATCACAAGCTCAATAAAGGCATACAATGCCAAGCTGCGGTTTCTAAAGCGAGCAAAATCCTCTCTTGTATTAAAAGAGGTATAGACTCCAGAGAGAGAGATTTCATATCCCCCCCCCCCCCATTGGCTCCCTTACATGTCAATCACTTGGTCCTATCCAGCAATTCATAACCAGGACCCTGCAATCGGCAGAAACAGCTGGCCACGGCACCGCTCTCACATTGTCCATTGATGTCACCGGCTGCTACAAAAGTAAATATCTCCTAAACAGTGCACATTTAAGAGGTATTTACTGTACCTACAGGTACAATACACATATCACAGTAGTAATGATCATCTGGTAAGACAAAAAGAGTCCATAGCCAAAGGAACTTGGCCCATACTTCTGCAGGTTCCCAGTCTCAGTTCCCAATGTGTCAAAGGTTCAGCCTTAGCAAGGTATATATGACACCATCCCAGTTACCGGATGCACAGGCTGCACCACTGGGTTTTTTTTTAAGGACATAGTGTCTGGCCTCAGTGTGCCTCCACACGCGGGTGTTGCTCTAGATTCCTGTACCCATTAACTTCAGGTACATGAACTTGTTGCCCACACCAGGGCTGGATCTAGCCTATATGATCTGGGGGTGCAGTAAAGAAAAGTCAGGGGGCACAATGACAACACTACCAAAATTAGTGTGTGCTGTAAATTGCCTCCAGCACCCCGTACACCCCACATATCCTGTACACCCCGTACACCCTGTACATCCCACATATCCCGTACATTCCACATATCCCGTACATCCTATACATACTGTACATCCCCATACATCCCACATACCCTGTACACCCTGTACATCCCACATATCCTGTACATCCTATACACCCTGTACATCCCCATACATCCCACATATCCCGTACATCCCACATATCCTGTACATCCTATACACCCTGTACATCCCCATACATCCCACATATCCTGTACATCCCACATATCTCGTACACCCCGTACATCCCACATATCCTGTACATCCTATACACCCTGTACATCCCTGTACATCCCACATATCCCGTACATCCTATACACCCCCGTACATCCCACATATCCCGTACATCCCCGTACACCCTGTAAAGCCCACATATCCTGTACGCACATCCCCGTACATTCCACATATCCTGTACATCCCTGTACAGCCCACATATCCTGTACATCCCACGTATCCTGTACATTCCGTACACCACGCACATCCCACATAACCCATACATCCCACATATCCCATACACCACATACATCCCATACATCCCACATATCCTGTACACCCCATACATCCCACATATTCCGTACATCCCCGTACACCCCACATATTCCGTACACCCCGTACATCCCACAAATCCCGTACATCCCCGTACACCCCACATATCCCGTACATCCTATACACCCCGTACATCCCACATATCCCGTACACCCTGTAAAGCCCACAAATCCTGTACGCACATCCCCGTACATTCCCGTACAGCCCACATATCCTGTACATCCCACATATCCTGTACATTCCCACGTACATCCCCATGTACATCATTCCGTACACCACGCACATCCCACATAACCCGTACATCCCACATATCCCGTACACCACATACATCCCGTACATCCCACATATCCCGTACACCCCATACATCCCACATATTCCGCACACCCCACACATCCCACATATCCCGTACACCCCGTACATCCCACATATCCTGTACCATCCTATACACCCTGTACAAACCCATACATCCCACATATCCTGTACATCCCACATATCTCGTACATCCCCATACACCCCACATATCCCGTACATCCTATACACCCTGCACATCCCCGTACATCCCACATATCCTGTACATCTCACATATCCCGTACATCCCCGTAAAGTCCACAAATCCTGTACGTACATCCCCGTACAGCCCACATATCCTGTACATTCCGTACACCATGCACATCCCACAAATCCCGTACATCCCACATATCCCGTACACCACGTACATCCCATACATCCCACATATCTCGTACACCCCATACATCCCACATATTCCGTACACCCCATACATCCTATATATCCCATACATCCTGTACATCCCACATATCCCGTACACCTGGTACATCCCGTACACCCCGTACATCCCACATATCCCGTATATCCCCGTACAGCCCACATATCCCGTACATCCTACATATCCCATACACCCAGTACATCCTACATATCCCATACACCTCTTACATCCCACATATCCCGTACATCCTGTACATCCCACATATCCCGTACATCCCACATATCCCATAAACCCCACATATCCCGTACACCCCATACACCCCTTACATCCCACATATTGACTACATCCCGCATATCCTGTACACCCCATACATCCCGCATAACCCATAATCCCGCATATCCTGTACACCCCATAAACCTTGCATATCCCATACATCCCGCATATCCCGCACAACCCATACAATCCTCATATCCCGTACACATCATACATCCCAGCCCGCACACCCCATATACCCCACATTTACTGTAAACCCTGTACATCCCATACATCTGTACATCCCGCATATCCTATACATCCCGCATATCCCGTACACCTCATACATCCCGCATATCCTGTACACCCTGCATATCCTGTACATCCCGTACACCCCATATATCCCGTACACCACATACATCCGCATATCCCATACACCACATACATCCTGCATATCCTGTACATCCCGCATATC